TGGCCTCTGAGGTCCTCAGAGTGCCCTGGAGACAACCATTATTGCATCCTAAGACCTCCTGGAAGCTCCCCCGGAAGGGGAATGGCTTAACTGGGTTCAGCAGATGAAAATTTCACAGGATGTAACCGCAACGGCACCTGGCAGATCCCAGAAAGGGCAAGTCTAAGGTGTCAATGAGGTCTCTAGCTGCTGGCATGGAGCCCATGGGTGGTGGGAGGATGGCCTGCCTCCAGTCCAGGGGAATTGCCTTGGATACGAAGAGCTTTCCTCCTTGAGAAAGGATTGGTGTGCAGTGCTGGAAGCTGGGCTAAGTCTAGAGCCGCATGCCCAGGCTCAGCTGAGGCTCTTGAGATGGGCAGGGTCACTCCCAGACACTTCCCAGTGACAGACTTTGGAATATGAACTCACTTGAGGGCCAAGCAAAGGGCAGTAGGGAAAACAGACTGGAGTCTAGCCTGAAAGGTTCTGGAAATTTCCTCTGCTCATCTACACCCACAGATTCCCCCAGACACAGGAGCTGACTCAGAGTTGATTTTGAGGCTCAGCTGCTTGGGAAGTCTCCCTGCAGGCACTGTGATGAAAGAAGCCTCCCTTAGGGGTTCTTCCGCAGGGGCCTGGGAAGGCCTTCCAACACCGGTACTGCCTCCGTCGAGCTGGACCTATCCCCTGGTGTCAGGATCCACCTTCCTTCCTTTTCTCCTTCCTACAAATATTTATTCATTCCATAACCACTGATTGTTTGTTGAACCATTTACTTCAGACAGGCGCTGACAGGATGCTGGGGACACTGCGGCCAATAAGACAGGGAAGACAAAGCCCCTGCTCTCTGGAAGCTCACTTTTAAGTGTGGGGAAAAAGACAATGAACTTGGAAACACATAAAATATTGACAGATTGAAGAACATAAACAGGATGCTGCGAGAGATAATAGTGAGGCACATACTGTACAGGTAGTAATCAGGTTGGGCTTCTATGGGAAAACAACAGTACACTGAGACCTAAAGGAGGGAGAGAGCAAAGGCCCTGTGGTTGAAAGAAGCAAGAGCCAAGAGGATGGCAAAGTGGCCAGAGCGTGATGGACAAAGGGGAGAGCGGCACTGGATGAGGCCAGAGAGACTGCAACAGGGACGAGAGCATGCAGCGTTTTGCAGGCCATGGTGAAAGGCATGGATTGTATTTAAAATGCAGTGAGGGGTCTAGGGCAATGATCATTAGTGGCTGCTGAGAAAATTAGGTCAAAAGCTGATGGGGATCATGACAACGGAGGGTCAGGATGACATCACTTGAGCTCACTGATCAGTCTTAGCACTGCAAAGAGAGAGACCACCAGACAGAACCTGATCTAGTCTCTAGATCTAACTACAGGGGACAGAAAGAGCAGAACGTGTAAAAGGACATCATGGGCCGGGCGTGGTGGCTCACGCCTGTAATCCTAGCACTTTGGGAGGCTGAGGCGGGTGGATTGCTCAAGGTCAGGAGTTCGAAACCAGCCTGAGCGAGATCCCGTCTCTACCAAAAATAGAAATAAATTAATTGACCAACTAAAAATATATATACAAAAAATTAGCCGGGCATGGTGGCACATGCCTGTAGTCCCAGCTACTCGGGAGGCTGAGGCAGTAGGATCGCTGAGCCCCGGAGATTGAGGTTGCTGTGAGCCAAGCTGACGCCACGGCACTCACTCTAGCCTGGGCAACAAAGTGAGACTCTGTCTCAAAAAAAAAAAAAAAAAAAAAAAGGACATCATGAAGGAGCAATCAGCACAATCTAGTCTGCAGGAAACTGCAGAACAATGATCCAATCTATGTGACAATAGACTACAAAGGGGAAAGAGACCGAGGGGGAATCTGTAAACTAAGAGCCCTGAGAGCCACGCCCACCAGCTGCAATATTGGGATGGAGGTAGATTGTGTAATAATGCATTGTAATGAATCACACTTCTACGACCACACCCCTTTTGCAATGTCTTGTTGCTGTTCTTCCTATCAAAAAGTGAAACTGTTTTCTCCACTGGCTTGGATCTGGGCCGCAACTTGCTTTGGCCAATAGAATGTGGCAGAAGTGAAATTGTCAAAATTCCGGAGCCTAGGTCTTAAGAAGCCTGAGGCTTCTTCCCTTGCTCTCTGGGAAACTTGAGACCACCAGTTTCTAAAGAAACCCAGTCCAGCCTCCTAGGGGATGAGAGGCCACGTGAAGGAAAGCTGAGACACCCCAGCCAATCGCCAGGGCTAATCACTAGCCATGGGTGGGGCGTCCTGGACCTTCCAGGCCCGGGTGAGCCAGCAGATGACGGCAGCTTCAGGAGTGATCCCAAGAGAGACCTGCAGAAGGACCTGACCTGGATTGCCAAGCTGTGGTGCCACACCACTGTGTTTTGGGTGGTTTGCTATATCGTAATAGCTAATAGAAACGGAAATAGCTCTATTAGCTCGTAATAGCTAATAGAAACGGAAATTTTGTTTGGATTCTCATTTAAACAAACCAACTCCTTAAAAAATTATGAGACAGAATTTTGAATGCTGGATGCTGGATATTTGATAATATTATGACATAATTGTTAATTCGTTAGGTTTGATGATGACACGATCACAGTTTTTTGGTTTGTTTTTTGGAGTTTTTTTGTTTTTTGGAGTTCTTATATTTTAGATACAAACTGAAATTTTTATGGATGAAAGGAAGTAATGTCTAATATTTGCTTCAAAATGATCCAAAGAAGGGTGGGGGCATGGATGAAACAACTCCTGGCCTTGAGTTGATAATTGTTGAAAGTACATGATGTATACGTGGGGGTTCTTTATACTATTCTCTCTACTAATGGTTCATTAAACTTTATACTCATATAGGTTCCCTATGATATTGTCTCTTATCCATGTTTGATACTTTAAAGCAGGCATCCTCAAACTACGGCCCACAGGCCACATGTGGTCCACCGAGGACGTTTATCCCACCTGCAGGGTGTTTTTGCCGCCGCTGCCTGTCCTGCTTAGCAGCCGACTCGTCCCGGGCCCACAGTGCACACGTGTGGAATGTGCGCCGCACTCTCCAACGGTCTGAGGGACAGTGAACTGGCCCCCTGTTTAAAAAGTTTGAGGACCCCTGCTTTGAAGTGTCAAAATATTAAATATTAATTATATATTAAATATTAAAATAAAGATGTTTGAGTGCATTTGGAAGCCCTTGGAAGGCCTCAGCAGGTGAGTGTCATCTCCTCTCACTAGGCACAGGACGTTTCTGCGTCTCCACCTCCCCCAGCAGCCCCTCCGGCGCCCACAGAGTGTCCCCTTCTGCACCGGATGGTGCCAGCTCATCAGCCCTGCTCCCCCCAGGGTGTCCCTAGCCTCCAGATCCCAAGCTTCCAGCCCAGTGGCTGAGCTCTGGTGCGACAGAAAGACCCCCCAGAGACTCTTCATCCCCTGGAACAGGCCACGTTCAATCCCACAGGTAAGCAGGAGGAGAGTTTATGAGACAACATCATGAGTCACCCAAACTAATGACTTCCCAGAAGAGATGTGGTTGGACACTGAGCCCTCCCTGCGAAACACCGAAGCCTGGTCCTGATTCAGAGACACACAGCGAGGGGCCGACTCCGCTGCGAAGATGTCGGGGGACCTCCAGCAAGTCACAGAACCCTTCCGGTCCCCATCTCAAATGAGCCTAATACCTGACTGCTTACATCATGGGTGGCTCGGAAAGTTGAATAAAATATTAGATATGAAAATGCTGGCTGGGGGGGGAGGGGGGGAAATGGGCATTTATTGAAACCTTAAAATCTGTACCCCCACAATATGCCAAAATAAATAAAAAAAAATGCTGACTGGGTGCGGTGGCTCACGCCTGTGATCCTAGCACTCTGGGAGGCAGAGGCGGGTGGATCGCTCGAGGTCAGGAGTTCGAAACCAGCCTGAGCAAGAGCGAGACCCCGTCTCCCTAAAAAATACAAAGAAATTAGCTGGACAACTAAAAATACGTAGAAAAAATTAGCCAGGCATGGTGGCGCATGCCTGTAGTCCCAGCTACTCGGGAGGCTGAGGCAGTAGGATTGCTTGAGCTAGGCTGACGCCACGGCACTCACTCTAGCTTGGGCAACAAAGCGAGACTCTGTCTCAAAAAAAAAAAAGAAAATGCTTTGCTCAGTGCTATGCAGAAGGAGCAGCTGATCTCGACGATGGGAGGCGATGAAGGATGGGCTGTGGCTTTGGCTGTGGATGCTCTGGCGAACGTGTTGTGCCTCTGCTCCCTGGCCTTGGCCCACATTCCCCTTCTACTCTCCCTTTCTCTACTGCCTTCTTGCCTTTCCCGACCAAATTCCGTAGAGGAGATGAGGAGGAAAGACACCAAAGGTTTTGAGGGTGTAACAGTGGAATCCCAGAAGAAAATAGGCAGTGCACTCAGAAAGGGTTTAACTGAAGAGAGTTAATGGAAGGCTTTACAGAGTTGAGACGAGGGGTAAGAGATCCAGCAAGAAATGTGGAAGCACGCAGGGACTAGCAACCACAGGAAGCTGTTACCACCTGCAGGCCTGGTGGTGCAAGGAGAAGGAGCAGAGCTATTGTAGCCTGGTAAGGGCCACAGCCATGGAAGAGGAGTCACCCAACAGGAGCCAGTGGTAGGCACAGAAAAAAACAGGTGCTGGCAGAATTGGCCAGGCAGGGAGGGAGTCAGCAGACAAATACCTACACCTCTCTCTCCTGCCCTGCCATCCCCTTCTATGCCTCCCATTGGCTGAACTCAGCCAGGGGCCGGGGACAAGGGAACCTGGGTCATGCGGTTCTTACAGGGCAGCCTCTGGGGCACAGAGCAGGGCCAAGAAGGATGGAGCCTCGATGGGGGGTGGTGTGTGGACAAGATGGGGTGTGAACAGGGCTTGAGTGGTTGTGGGCAGAAAGTCCTGGATCAGTGCATGGTCAGGGTTTGGCAAAAGAATAGTCTCACACCAGTGGTGAGAACTCAGTCATCTCTTCTTGGCCCAGGGTCCTGACCCATATGCTCTTTTTGTCCTAGCGGAGTCCTCCCAGCCTCCCAACGGCAGCTGGCCCCCAAGTCAGAATGGGAGCAATGCCGAGGCTGCCCCAGCTGTGAACCTCACCTTCTCCTCCTACTACCAGCACTCCTCCCCTGTGGCGGCCATGTTCATCGTGGCCTACGCCCTCATCTTCCTCCTCTGCATGGTGGGCAACGCCCTGGTCTGCTTAATCGTGCTCAAGAACCGGCACATGCGCACCGTCACCAACATGTTCATCCTCAACCTGGCCGTCAGCGACCTGCTGGTGGGCATCTTCTGCATGCCCACCACCCTCGTGGACAACCTCATCACTGGTGAGTGTGGGCGGCGGGCTGCAGGGGCGCCCCCCCACCCCCACTCCCACTCCTCAGCTTAGGCCCGAAATGGAAGCTTGGAAGACTGAAGTCACTGCTGGGCTGGCTTCTTGGCCAAGATGCCATTGCCTCAAACTCTCTAGACAGTCTGATGGCTGAGGGATTAGGCTAGAAATAACAGATACAATGAGTTGCCCACTTTCACTGCGCCAGGCATTCTATTGTATACCCTTCTTACATTATGTTAACCCTAACAACAATCCGGGGGAGTAGGCCTTTTTATTATTCCTGTTTCATGGATGAGGAAATGTACTCAGAGTGCTCTGTGGTCACACAGCTGGGAAGTGTCCACGCCCACAGTCCCACACCTATTTCTAATTACCGTTGTGTACCAGTCAGTCTCACTCTCCATGGACAGATCCAGAACCGCTGGTAGGGAAGCAGGTTTCTCTGATCAAGAACCTAAAAATCTACTCAACTGAGCTGTTCTCCCACAGAAGAGAGCACTGCCCTGTAGGTAATGAGCTCCCCGTCACTGAGAGTATCTAAGCAGGGACTGGCTGGCCACTCAGGAGGGATTTGGTAGAAGGTATTCAAGCAAAGCTAGACCACCTGACCTCTAAATGCCACCTGTGCATCCTGCAGATGTCAGAATGCCACCACTGTCCTCTCTCTCTCATGGGATTGGCCATTCTTGTAGCATCAGGGTTCCTCCTACCTGAAACTCCAGGTGGGGAGGGGCTGGTTTTCAGGAGACACCTAGAGGTCTGAGCCTGCAGATTCTGAGCTCATAGCTCCCAGCAGCTGCCTGGAGCTCAGGATCCAGGGCTTGGACAGCCCCATTGGGACTGACTTGGGGCAGAGCAGCCACAGCCTGTGTTCCTGTCTGTTCCAGGACCCAGGAAGGGAAGCTAGGGCAGAGTCAGCACCCCTTTGGCAGTACTGGCTCCACCTGGTGGAACATTTACTCTCTGCTGAGTCTCAGACTCCTCCATCGATGCTGAACAAAAATTACGTATCCTTCTCCTTCCCAAAGCACAGACACGTGTACTTATGCACACATGTGTAGAGATGCACACACATGCATGCAGGCACACACACACACACACACACACACACACACACACCAGCCAACAGTGATAGGGGGAGGCCACTAGTTGGTTAAGGTGGTGTCTGCCAGCCCTTTTCACACACCTCCATTAAAATTATTTGAATAAGTAAAATGTTCACATGGGTCATTCATCAAAATCTCCCAGAATTATCCAGTGAAACCTCTCTCTTCCACCCCTGTCTTTTGGCCTCCCAGCTTCTCTCCTGGGAGGAAACCAATGGTTCCATTTTCTTGTATCTCTTTTCAAAAATATTTTACATGAGTACAAGAAAATCAAGGAAATTCTAACTTTCCAGTCAATTCTGTACCTTTACTCCCCACCCCCGCTTAAAAATATATCATGTATGTTATAAATGATTCATTAAAATCAACTTACATGTTATTCCATATTAATAGATAAGAGTTTCTCATTCTTTTTATGACTGTTTAGAATTCTATTGTATGGATATACTATAATTTATTTTTGATGGATAGTTAGCTTGTTTCTAATAGAATATTCTGCAATTAAATAAAACTTCATACAACTTCTTTCTTTCTTTCTTTCTTTCTTTCTTTTTCTTTCTTTCTTTCTTCTCAGGTGCAGAGGGTTGAATTATTCATGTCCACAGTTCATGGCACTATGTGACTTAACTCTCTTGGGAGGCCTCTTGTTTATTTTTTGTTGATTTATTTATTCCTTTCTATACCCCTACCCCACTCCACATCCCATCTCTGACTCACAGGAAGCCATTCTGTTATATTTAATTTGTGTCTTTTTGTTTGTATGCATTCTTAGAAAATGTGTCATGGATATGTGCACATTTTACATTTAAATACTCTTGTTAAGGTGTAATTTAACATAAAATAAAATCCACCTTATTTAGTGTACAGTTCCACAAGTTTTGATGAACACACATACAGTCATGTAGCTACCACTACAATCAAGATTTAGAAGGCTGGGCGCAGTGGCTCATGCTTGTAATCCTAGCACTTTGGCAGCACAGGTGGGAGGATCACTTGAGCCCAAGAGTTGGAGACTAGCCTGGGCAATATAGCGAGACCCCATCTACACAAAAGAATTTAAAAATTAGCCAGATGTGGTGGTGCATGTCTGTAGCCCCAGCTACTCAGGAGGCTGGGGCAGGAGGAGAAAAGTTTTAAAACAATTTCATCAGGCCGGGCACAGTGGCTCACGCCTGTAATACTAGCACTCTGGGAGGCCGAGGCGGGCGGATTGCTCAAGGTCAAGAGTTCGAAACCAGCCTGAACAAGGGCGAGACCCTGTCTGAACTATAAATAGAAAGAAATTAATTGGCCAACTAATATATATAGAAAAAATTAGCCGGGCATGGTGGCACATGCCTGTAGTCCCAGCTACTTGGGAGGCTGAGGCAGAAGGATCGCTTGAGCCCAGGAGTTGGAGGTTGCTGTGAGCTAGGCTGACGCCACAGCACTCACTCTAGCCTGGGCAACAAAGCGAGACTCTGTCTCAAAAAAAAAAAAGAACTAGGAAATATAGGCACACTAACATAAAGATAGTTAACACATATATCTTTATTTCTATGTCTGTTCATCTGGATGTCCATCTACACATTATTTACACATACAGACAGACAGATATAGAAATAAAGATATGTGTGTTAAATATCTCTATTTATCTATGGATATTCCCTTATTTGTTGAATCTTAGCATACACATAAGTAGTTTCAGTATTGCTAACCCATACTTCTGCGATTTGGGTTTGCCTAATGTTTTCTCTTAATTAGATCCAGTTTACGCACTTTTGTCAAGAATACCACAAATTTATCAGTGAGAATACAGAATTTGTAAACAGTTCTTTTTTGTCTTTAGTCTTATACATTCAAAATAGTGTTACTTAGGTTAGTGTCTTTCTTTCCTCACCCCCTTCAATGTGGTTATATTATTCATTTGTAATACAATTAGGTTTGTTATCATTTATATTTCACTTTGGGTCCCCACCCCCTGCCCATGTCCTGGTAGATTTCAATTATTTATTTTCTGAGCATGTAAGACATTGATCTCCCCTTCAGTTTTCTCATCTGTAAAAAGGGGACAGTAATAGTAAGGTTGTTGTGAGGCTTGGATGAGACAGTGCCTGGGACTTAGTAACTGCGCAGGTAGAAAGTCAACACAGGGGGCGCTGTTGGTGGAGGAAGGGGCCCTGCCTCCAGAGAGCACTCCTGTTCCAGGAACAACAGGCCAGAGTAAGGTGGGGCCTCCAGGCCTAGAGGGACAGAGACACCAGGCAGTTACCAGCACATAACCTCAGGACCCAAGATGTGACCAGTGACACGCTGCAGTGCTGAGGGCAGGTGGGGCCAGGGCTCCTCAGAAGGCAGAAGCCCAGGGATGAGAGTAACGACACCGGTAGGAGGGCTGCACTGCTTACACCTGTCCCCCACCTGGGAGTCAGAATTGATTTGTCCTCAACTTTGGCTGCCATTCAGATCCCCTGGGTACATTTTTAAAATATTGATGTCCGGGTTCCACCCTCAGAGATTCTGATTGTAATTGGCCTGGGATGGCCCTGGCTGTTGGCTCTTGCCAAAGCTGTCCGGGTGATTCTGGTAAGCAACCGCTGGCCTAGGGCCTGGGCAGGGCTATGGGAGCAGAGAGCTGGGCAGGGCTGGATGGATGAAAAGCTCAGCAATAGAAATCACTGGTCAGTAGAAAGAGCATCTGTCTCATAGTCATGCTGTCCGTGGTATGTGGGCTGGTCAGTTCCTCATCCCTGGAAGTGTGCAAGCAGAGGCCAGGTGACCCCTCGCAGGACATGGAGGCAAGGTACGAGCTTCAGAAGGGACCTGGCTTGGACAGCCCGAGGTCTCTGGCTCTTGGTGGGTGGACATCTCTCACTCTGTGGGGGCTTCTGTCATTGCAGGATGGCCCTTCGACAACGCCACATGCAAGATGAGCGGTTTGGTGCAGGGCATGTCTGTGTCGGCTTCCGTTTTCACGCTGGTGGCCATTGCTGTGGAAAGGTGAGAGGTTACCTGGCTGGACTGTCCCTGGGCCGGCTGGGGCCCGGCACAAAGAGGAGCCACTGCCTCTAACGCTGGGCCAGCTAGAGGTTGGGGCTGCTCTGCGGTAGGAGGGGCTAAATCCTCAGCCCTAAAGGGAAGGGTTGTGGGCCCAGCTGACCTCTAGACTTAGGGGACCTGCTAAGGACTCCACCACCTCCTTCTGGAAGGCCTGGACTAGCTCTTGAGAAGATTTAATAGGGATTATTGGGGCCTGTGCAGACCTTGAGAGCAGTTCTTGTTTCCTAAGCAGTAGGAATCCTGCCACCGTTAAGTCTGAGCCAGGGAGCGGGAGCTAGGTGAGTAGCTTACGGGGGGGCCTCGGTATGGCTGGGGAGGAAGGGGTCTCCCTGCTCCTTCACTCTACCCCACTGCCTCCGTGCTGGCCCCTGGCAGTCACTCCAGGCCTCAATCAGTCCCCAGGTCCCCCGCTTCTGGGCTTTCAGCCTCAGATTCCATCAGATTCTCTGATAACCATGGATCTGTCAATGTGGCTGGAGGTGTGGAATGGAGCCAGGGGGCAAGGAGGCTTTGCAAACTGTAAAGCTCTGCGCCCATGAGTCTCTGCGCCCATGAGTCTCTGCGCCCATGAGTCCTTGTTGCGCTGCAATGAGTCCTCCTCCCCCTTAGCATCGTTAGTGGTGTAAGGGATCCCTCTAGGTGCTTCACCCTGGGGAGGAGGAGGCAGGCAGGTAAGCTGGAAGTGTCCTCATCACTGCCTAACCGGATCATGGTGGGTAAGTCACTTTATTCTCAGCCTCTGTAGTCTCATTGGTAAAATGGCAAATACCTTACAGGGTGGTTGAGAGGCTTCCGTGAGTTTCTAGATCGTTCCTGACAAGGAATCCAAATGCCAGCTGTTAATATCTCTTGTCCTAGGCCGGGCGCGGTGGCTCACGCCTGTAATCCTAGCACTCTGAGAGGCCGAGGCGGGCGGATTGCTCGAGGTCAGGAGTTTGAAACCAGCCTGAGCAAGAGCGAGACCCCATCTCTACTATAAATAGAAAGAAATTAATTGGCCGAACTAATATATAGCTACGAAAAATTAGCCGGGCATGATGGCGCATTGCGCTGTAGTCCCAGCTACCTTGGGAGGGCTGAGGCAGAGGATCTTGAGCGCAGGAGTTGAGGTTGCTGTGAGCTAGGCTACGTGCCATGCACTCACGTCTAGGCCTGGCAACAAACCGAGACTCTGTCTCAACAAAAAAAAGAAAAATATATCCTGTCCATCCGTCCCTGTCGCTCGCCGTCCGCCAACATGGGCCCAGCCTGATCGTAGGGCCCACCCTTCTCTGGAGTGCTTCCACCCTCTGGCCTTCCTGAGCGGAACCGGTATGTCTTTTGTATCCCAGTGAAACGTAGGCCAGCCTGGATCGATGCCACCTGGGCTTGTCCTCTGTCCCACCAAGGCGCTACATTAGCTGGATGATGGGGGGACCAGGTCCCTCCCCTGGTACCTGACCTGTGTGTTATCATCATTGATGATATGAGAGCTTGCACACTCCTCTAGTGGTGTCTGCAATATTCTCAAGGACCCACTTTCCTCTGCCAGGAAGCTTGCTGGACTACCCCAGGATTCTCTCCATCCATCTAACTGACTATTGCAGCTTAATACCAATACTCCTTGCTCTTAAGAAGTAATTTGTTCTCTGAGAGGTTCTCAAGTATGTGCTGGCTATGAAGCCAGTAGGTCAAAGGCATACAGGTTGACGACCTGGCGAGGCTTGAGTCAGGCCATGGGAGAGGTAAAGGGGCTGGCTGTTCAGGTCCAAGGAAAGAGTAGGGTACGGCAGGAGGGCAGGAAAAGCTTAGAGAAGTGGAAAGGGCACTAGACTCTGGAGTCACCTTCTAGACCGTATAGTGTTCTAGAGAAGGTTCTGACCTAAAAATTAGCCACGTGCCATGAAGAAAGTCGCCTTTCCCTCTCTGGGCCCCAGATTCCCGTCTCCATTGAAACAAGTAAAGCTGTCTAGATACGTCTTCTATTTCCGGCATGCCAGTGATGAGGAAAGATATCTGGAAGTAGGGAGCCCCATCCCCCTTTCC